CCCCCCCCCCCAAACTAATATATTTTCTGAAAGAAGAGACCGTGTAGAATAAAAAAAGTGGCAGTTGCAATATTTTATGCATTACAATGTTAGTGCAATAGTTTATCAAACACAATTTATTTTGTAAAATATAAAAGATGGGGCTTCACTGAGTAACAAGATACCAAAGATGCCAAGCCTCCAAATTGTGTGCACCCATGAAACGTAGAAGATCTGCAGGACCCTAAATTGACCATAGGCAATGCTTAATATGCCAGGTGATGCTTAATAGCCTGTACAGGTCATCAATTTAGAGTTAACCATGAGAAATGGCACTAGAATTATTGTGCGGTGATATTTAATGTGTAGCACAATCATTATTTTCATACAAATGTTTAGTGTTTTTTAAATTTATTTTATTTAAAGTTAGATTTGTAAACTTTTTTTAAAACTTAACTTTATTGGTATCACATAGGGAGGGGTGGGGCATCACTAGAGGCCAATCAGGGTTCTACTGCTGTGCCCAATGCTGTCAGTCTAATGCTGAACATGAGGTGAACAGGAGAGGATATCACAAGGATGGCCTCATTAATGTGCTTCTCGTCCTTTATATTCCTGGCACAACCTGGAGCTTGTAGTGGACCAGGGAGTACTTTTTTACCTGCAGTGTAGTCTTCCTGGTGCTCCAGGACTTGGCAGTGCTGTTTGACAGTGGTACCTCATTCACAGGATGGGCTGAACAGAATTATAGCCTCCTTGGCAGATACATTAGTTAATTAGGAAACATCTGAAGATGCTAAGGGTCATTGCATTTGCATATGATAACTGCATTTGCACTCCTTTGATGTACAAGTCTGATTATTGTTTTACAGGAATTGTCTTCAGCAATGGGGACCGATGGAGAGATTTGCGCAGGTTTTCACTTACCATGCTTAGAAATTTTGGGATGGGGAAGAAATCTATTGAGGAGAGGATACAGGAAGAGGCTGGGTTCCTGGTGGCAGAGATCAAATCTCTGAAAGGTATTTTGTCTGCTTGTGTATGTTGGATGGAATATATGAATTATACACACAGTGCAAAATAAATGTTTCAGTGGTATTTTCAGGAAAACGATGGATACATTTTTCCTTGATGTTCCCATAATGGAATGTATTTATGTGTCTAAAGGGAAAATGACTTGTTTCCAAGAACAAACAATCTGCTTGTGAAGAATCTGTGCTGTTACAAAATAACAAGAACAACAGTCCTCCTTCTGACACTTAAAATGGCACTGAATATTTTTATTGTCTCTGGTCGTATACTAGATATGGGCCACCTGCTGTATTTTAGGAACCTTACATAGGCAATGTGTGTACTCTTAAGGATCACTTGTGAAGATTTGAATTTTTCTTAATCTTTCTGACGAATGCATTTTAAATGCATAGTGAATGCCTCCTATATGCACATGTACACTAGCCCATGATCAGTTTTTGTTGTTCATCACTGGCTGACCTGTAGCTCCACTTTCTCTAAGATTTTTCTTTAGGTGTGGTAGGCTTGTGACTATAGGCACTATTATGGAAGAGTTGCCCGAGGCTCCTCTAGGACTGGCTGTCATTTGGACAGACAGACAGGTCATGGTTTGTATTGCAGAAACTCTGACAGTGGCTTATGTGTAAATGAAGCCTGGCAAACAGTGGCAGCCAGCTGCCAGTGCTCCTGTAAGTTTGTGGGCTGCTGTGATGGACTACAATCTTAATACAAATTAGTAAACTAAACGTGAGATTGTAGTCCATCACAGGAGTGGGCTTGGAGTGGTGACTACTTTACAACACACATGGACCATGGGGAATAAAAGTAGCCACCCTCCAGAAGGAAGGACAGTGTCGGCACCAATTCAGAGATGATCTGAGGATCTACAGCTGAGTGATATACAAATAAGATACATTTTTGTTAATAGTTGAGGTACTTGAATGCATTTTTAAGATTTACCTCCTGAGTTTATATTGATTTAATTTATACAGGAGCTGTAGCCAGTGTTTGTGTAACACAGTCAAAGACTTGTCTGTCATTTTGAAAGTAGGGTCCTCATCTCTGTCGAGGATTCTTTCTTCCACAATGGCAGCAACTACAGAGCGAGAGCTTGTTTTATAACATACAGGAATACAGGTCATACTTGCTGACATGGTGGCAGTAGTACAAGACAATCAGAGTTAAAGGGTATGTAAACCCTAACAATAAACGTCAGTTATTGCTTCCTATTGGTCTGCTAACTATACCATTTGAACGTTGTTTGTTATATCTGTTTGATAAGTGCAAAAAAATCTTTTTTGATTTTTGCCATTTCTATTGTGAGCTGATTGCTTCCTGTGCTCTCTGCCTGTACACGAGGAGGGATTATGGAGATGAATGGGGAGGAGATTGTGAGAGGTCTGTATTGTTGGTCATGCATCAGTATTAAAGGAGAACTATGGGGTTAAGGCTTTTCCTCATAGTTCTCCTTAACTCATCAAACTGAAAAGAGAAGCTGATTGGTTGCCATGCACAACTGCTCCGGATTTTGTCTGCTACAGTGTCGATAAATTCCCCTCACTGTGTTGTCATCTCAAAGAGAACGTTAGGGACACACTTTATTTCTGGTACAGAAATAGTTACATTCTTGTGCTTGCAGCCCGTTTAAAGGGATAAACCACAAGGAAATGTGTATGTATTGCAGAGAGGAAATATGTTTTTTTTTATCTTGACATATGTTTTAAGAAACACTGCTGTGTGTAGTAGTCTACATGGTGAACTACTAATGCCTAGCAATTAGCTAGTAGCAATGGTAACACCCATTTGCATCTGTGACCTTCTTTCACACAAAAAATTTTGAAGATGTGCCCTGGGCTGCAAAGGCAGGACAGACAGGCAAGATGCAGGGGGGGCTTCAGTTGGGTATCATAGTATTAAACAAATAACCCCCATATGCAGCAATGGCATCATAAACATGCAGATTGAAATGTTGCAAACCTGTAAAATTACTAAATTTTTTAAATTTGCCTGCAGAAAAATCCATCGACCCAACAGGCCTCCTACTCCAAGCTGTTTCCAATGTCATCTGCTGTGTAGTGTTTGGAAAACGTTTTGAATATGATAATCAGAGTTTTCGGGAACTCTTGGACTTGTTTGGTGCAACATTTAAAGACATGAGCACACCAATGGGACAGGTAGGTGGCGCTGGTGCTACATCGATTACTGAATAACATTGTCCTTAAGTCACCTATTTGAAGTTGTGTTGTAAGGCAAACTTGATGCTGATAACCATTTTGCTGGTATTAAAAACAATTGCACACAGCAAATTATTCAATTGCTGAAGTTATGGGTACCAAGTTCTAATGAATTATATAGGTCAGCAGAAAGCTATTCAAAGTGCTCAGTATCAACTTTACAGAAAATGTGTTTGTTTTTTGTAATAATTAGCCAAAGATAACATTTCATATGAAAGAGTATCCAAATGACTTTTATAATGTTTTGCTCTAAATCATGTATGCAGTAAAAAAATAGTTGTAGACATGTACAGAAAAGCATGGCTTAGGAAGGCCCTAATGTCTTATGACAGCATTGTGTTAATGAATGCACATGAGCAATCTCTACACATGCATGTGAGCAAGATGTGCAAAAAGTGACTCTGTAAGGAAATAAAAACCAGAACAAGAATGACGCTGCATTGCCAGCACCTTGAGATATCTGTTCTTACCTTTACATTTAGTTTCCTGCTGTAGCCCTTGAAGTTCCTGTGCAAATTTTGACTTTCTAAGAAAATCTACATTTGCAAACGGCTAAAAGAGTTTTGATGTCCCATTAGCCGAATGGAAACATGAATAGAAATTGTGCCCGTCCCTGCGTAGCTTCCATCTTTTTTTCCCCTCATCTCTCTCTTCTTCATGTGCTTTGCTGCAATGAGGAAGGAGGATTTACTCATCTCTAGCCTTGAATACCTGTTTTAAGAAGGACTGAGTAGAAAACGTGTTGATTTTAGCCAGGCATATTCAATGCCAGACCTCTACACAGGGCAGGTCTACGTAGAATAACATGAAGAAAAGGGGCATTCCCGCACTCCTTTTCCCTACCACTCTCTTTGCATACTGCCACCCCTTTCATTCCTACAACCGTATATACTCGAGTATAAGCCGTCCCGAATATAAGCCGAGGTACCTAATTTTAGCAAAAAAAACTGGGAAAAAGTATTGACCCGAATATAAGCCGAGGGTGGGTAGTTTTGATAAATGCCCCTTATGTATAGTAATATGAAATATGTTGGAGCTAGAAATTTCATGAGGGAGCTTGCTTCCTAGACCTGACACAAAATGAAATCAAGAATTACGTTATTGCAGTTTGCATGTCTGTGCGCACCAAGTTATAGCAGGCAAGTATAACACATCTGACCTACATAAATATGGAAAAAAAGGATTACCGTATATACTCTAGTATAAGCCGAGATTTTCAGCCCATTTTTTTGGGTGAAAAGTGCCCCCCTCGGCTTATACTCGAGTCAGCGCCAGCGCGTCTTCTTACTTACCTCGCCGAGCGTCGCGTCATTGCTCCTCCGGTGTGCGGCGCTCCGAGCGGGGTCATCTGGCAGTCTCCGGCCACCTAAATTAGGACCCGGAGACTGCCAGATGACCCCGCACGGAGTGCCGCACACCGGAGCAGCAGTGACGCGACGCTCGGCGAGGTAAGTAAGATGACGCGCTGGTGCTGACTCGAGTATAAGCCGAGGGGGGCACTTTTCACCCACTTTTCACTTTTGCACTCATCATCTCCCGCTCATTCCAAATCCACATGCTAGGTTTACCTCCAGGACACTGGTGCATGTTCACCCGTATAAAATGCCCTCTCATATCACGTCACTCACCCTTCTGCTTCTCCTGACTTCAGGAGATATCTCTCCCAATCCTGGCCCCCTATCTTATAATAATCACCCTCCAAACCAGCCTTGCCTTTCCTCTGGCAGCAGCCTTAATCAACGCAGCATGATTTCTATTCCCCTGCTTCCTAGAATCAGTCCTTCCTTCTCATGTGCCCTCTGGAATGTCCGCTCTGTCTTTAACAAACTCACCGCTGTGCATGACCTTCTCATCTCCAATTCCTTTAATATGCTTGCAGTCACTGAAACCTGGCTTCATGAATCTGCCTCTGCCTTCCCTGCTGCCTTCTGTCAGGAAGCAGGGGATGTTACCTCTACTCGGGGACCACGGGCACGGCGCAGGGCACGGGTTCCCCTTCAGCTCGGTAGAACACCTGGTGCCCGAGGTGCAGGTGCGCATGCGCGAGTCATGCGGCGTGGGCGCATGCGCAGTACGCAGGCTGTGCGCACATCCCCGGGAGCATAGCGTTCTTGCATCATCTGGCTATCAGGTGTGAGCCTTGCTGGGGGAGGTTCCCAGTACACACCTTCCATCTTCCTCGCCTGCCATTGGTTCCCGGGGAGGGAGGCCTCCTGGTTGCCTCGGTGACCAGGGGGTGGTCCTACCTCCCCTGGCTATAAAAACCTGGCCTGAGCTCTGGCTTATTGCTGAGTTATTCCACCTTCTGGTGAACACCTAGCCTCCATGCTGATCCTCCTATTGCCTGTTGCCCCTGTGTATCCTTCCCGATTACCGACCCTTGGACTGTCTTCCGCCTTTGAACCTTCGCTGCCTGCCTCGACCCGGATTGGACATTGACTACCCCTCTTGGATTATCCCTAAACTTGTACCGCGTTTCTGGACTGTCAGCTGCTTATTGCCAGTGGGTTCCTCATCTCACTACTAGCTCCCTGGGACATCTGACACCTTCTCCCATGGAGGCCTCCACTGGACACACTCACCCAGACCCAATGGATGGAAAGGAGGTGGAGTGGGTATCCTTCTATCCCCACAATGCACTTTTCAAGTTCTGCCTTCACCTCCCTCTCTATCCCTCTCATCTTTGAAACCCACTGCATTCGCCTATTCTCTCCAATTTCTTTGAGGATTGCTGTTATATACTTACCACCTGGACCAATATCTCGCTTTCTTGATGACTTCTCTGCCTGGCTACCCTACTTTCTCTCCTCGGAAATACCCACTATCATTCTTGGTGACTTTAACATTGCTAATAACATTAACACCCCGGCTTCCACTCAATTTCTTAACCTAACCTCTTCTTTTGACCTAACTCAATGGACACACACTCCCACTCGCCCTGATGGTAACATACTAGATCTTGTGTTCTCTCACCTATGCACTCCTTGCAACCTCTCCAACTCCCCTTTTCCTCTCTCAGACCACAGCCTTGTCAGTTTCACAATCACGCTGTCCCCAACCCAGAATCCCCCTACACGGCACACTGTCACCCTGAGAAACCTTCGCCACCTTGACCCTTCTCTTCTCCACTCACCCCTGTCCTGCCCTGACCTGGCTACTTCTGTTTTTAACAGCTCACTCTCATCCTCCCTAGACACCTTAGCCCCCCTCACTACACGCAGACTTAGACCATGTCCACAACAACCGTGGCAAACTGAAGTAACCAGACATCAAAAAAGACAAAGCCGCACTCTTGAGCGACTGTGGCAAAAAACTAGGTCTCTGCAAGACTTCACCATGTATAAAGCTGCCCTCCTAAAATATAATTCCTCCCTCCGTGCTGCCAAACAAACTTATTTTGTCACTCTCATTAACACACACTCATCCAAACCTCGTTAACTCTTTTCTACCTTCAAGTCTCTACTATGTCCTCCACCGCCACCACCTACTAACTCACTCACTACCCAGGACATTGCCATTCATTTAAAGAACAAAATAGATACAATTCGGGATCAGATCACCACTGTGCAGTCACCTTCCCCTATTAATGTACCAGACCCACCATCACACTTGTTACTCTCCCCTTTTGACCCTGCCACCACAGAGGAGGTTACAAAGCTTCTCTCTGACACCCACCTCACCACTTTCCCTCTAGACCCTTTTCCCTCAAAACTACTTCGGTCACCCTCTTGCTCTATCCTACACTCTCTTACTCACATTTTCAATATTTCACTCTCTACAGGAATCTTTCCTTCCCCTCTGAAACATGCACTAGTCACCCCAATACCCAAAAAACCCTCACTGGACCCTACCAACCTCAATAATTTCAGACCTATCTCCTTACTCCCATTCACCTCTAAACTACTAGAACTCCTTATCTACATCCGCCTGAGTCGCCACCTCGCTAATAACAACCTTTTAGACCCGTTTCAGTCCGGCTTTCGCCCCATATACTCCACTGGAACCACCCTCCTAAAACTCACCAATGACCTACTAACTGCTAAAAAACAATGGCCACTACTCCTTACTCTTGCTATTAGACCTTTCTGCTGCTTCTGACACTGTTCACCACCCGCTGCTCCTCACAAAAACTCAACTCGCTTGGCCTACAAGACTCTGCTCTCCTTCATGTATCACTTCTCCCTCCCTTTTAGATTGTAAGCCCTCAGGGGCAGGGCCCTCCTTACCATCTTGTCTTGCATTGTATTGTGATTGTAATGTCTTCCTTATATTGTAAAGCTTTGCGCAAACTGTTGGCGCTATATAAATCCTATATAATAATAATAATAATGTCTCATTTGGATGACTGTAATAAAAACTGCCTTTGTGCATTGTCCAGTTGCAGGAAATGCTCCCAGACATCATTAACCACATCCCGGGACCTCACCAGAGAATAAACACACATCTGGATAAACTGAGGAATTTCATCTTAGAGAGAGTGAAGATAAACCAGGAGACATTTGATCCCAACTGTCCTAGGGATTACATTGACTGTTTTCTTGTCAAGCAGTTGCAAGTATGTAGATTAACGTTATATTCTAAAAGAAGGCATTCAAGCCTATTTAGTAGGACAAGCAATAATAAAAACTGCAGGAACCTGCAACAACATATTTATATTCTTTACCTTGACTGCAGCAAAGTAAAATCTGCGCATGCCCCCAAACACTGATTGAGGAAGATGAATCAATGAGTGAATTCTCTTCAGGAACCAACACTTTTGGGAGAGTCGATCACCAGAGTTCCCTGCTGCGCTCATTAGTTGATCCAACCCACCTCTACATCACTAAAGTACACATTAGCAATGTGGGGGCGGTGTTGGCAAAAGGAATCACTGAGCCCGGTAAAAGACACAGGGGGCTGACAACACCAAAAGTGTCAGTTTCTGAAGGGACTTTAATATTATAATGATTTTGTTTATACATATTTTTCCTCATCTACACCAAACAAGGGCACACTTTTGCAGAATATATGCACCCCCCACCCCCCATCCTCCGCTATAGTTTTGCCTCTCCTTAACTACTGTAATATTTCATGATTTCATGCTTTTAGGAAAAGGACAATCCAAACTTTAATACAAGGAATATGATAATGACAATACTCAACTTGTTCTTTGCTGGAACCGAGACAGTCAGCAGCACCCTGCGACATGGATTACTCATACTTATGAGATATCCTGAAATACAAGGTAAATATTGGGGATAACTCAGCAGTAAAAGACTCAATAAAAGAGCAAAGAGATGCCTTTGGCTAGGATCAAATTAGATTTCAGTTCTCAACCATCTTCAGAAGGTAGAGCAGGACAATTTACTCCTAATCGGTTGCTTTGTGCTACTGTAAATACAACAGAGTACAGTTATTTTGAGTGCTAATGCATTGTTTTTTACTTCTTAGTCATTTATATTCATATCCATTTTCCCAGACAAAGTACTGGAGGAAATAGATCGGGTTATTGGACAAAATCGCATCCCAAACATTGAAGACCGGAGCAAGATGCCGTATACAGATGCTGTAATCCATGAGATCCAGAGATACTGTGATATCCTGCCACTCAATGTTTCACACTTAGTGATAAAAGATGTCAGCTTCAAGGGATATACCCTTCCTAAGGTGGGGTTTTGTTGTTCACTGTGAAAATATTTTTTGCAAATTGTCTTCTTTGATGTAGTCAAATCCAGTTATTCTTGGATGTCAACAGCTCTAATTTGTTTTGTCAAAAAAGCTCTAAATGGGAAATCTTTAGAGGGCGTGTTCTATAGTTTACTTATTGGGAATTATTTTACTCTGTCCTAACCAATTTGCATACAAGTCAATTAGTTAGATAAATATTAGTTTATATTCTGGATTTTAATCAACTATCTACTTCATGGTCCTTTTGTATGTATTTAGGGTACTGAGGTCTATCCATTACTGTGTACTGTTCATCAAGACCCCAAGAAGTTTGCTACTCCCTGTAAGTTCAACCCCAATCATTTCCTGGACAGCAACGGCAGCTTTAAGAAGAATAATGCCTTTATGCCATTCTCTGCAGGTACATTTGCATTTTAACAAGCGTTAAAACTCAGTCACATTACACTTTTAGGGTACAACTATAAATGATAGAGTGTAATGCTTATCCCAAGGACATGCCGCCAGATGTAATGCTTGGCAAAACTTTTACAGATAGTTGTTGTCTGATTCTTGCAGTAAAGCTGAAGGAAACTGACCCAGTAGCATTTAACATATTTTACTATGCAAAAATGCTGTGTGCACAAACTTAGTTACAGGAAACCCAGTACAAAAGAAACATAAGGCTGACTACAAACAAGCAGAAATACACATACATCCACTAATCTATCCATTCCAGTGCATTGAATAGTTTCTAAGAGAGGATACACTAAAGGTAGCTTTGAGTTGCAAATCCTGTAAAGAACAAGACGACTTGGCAATTAAGTGTTTGCAGGAAAGTGGCTTCTAGTTACAGTCTCTCTCTAAGTCCTTTTTTCAGTGATGTCCTCTTTGGTCAACATGCCATCTTGAAGTATCTCTTGTCATAATTGCATTGTGAAGTCTCCCTTAGTCAGAATTGCATTGTGAAGTCCCTATTGGTTAGAGTTGCATTGTGAAGTCCCTCTGAAGTCCCACTTGATGAGAGTTGCATTGGGAAGTCCCTCTGAAATCCCACTTGATGAGAGTTGCATTGTGAAGTCCCTCTGAAGTCCCTATTGGTTAAAGTTGCATTGTGAAGTCCCTCTGAAATCCCTATTGGTTAGAGTTGCATTGAAAAATCCCAAATTCACTTTGAGCTTCTGGATTTTATTAGAAAAGTTGTTAGCCCACCTGTGGGTGTTGCCCCTTAACACTTGTATTAGAACCTGTGCCAGATGTATCTCACTTTTTCCAACTCTAGATGGCAGCACAGTACTATAAATGTCACAGTGACCCATTGTGAGTAAGATACAAATAATGGGGAATCATTAGAGGGCAGCTATACCATTGTCAGAAAACCAGTTTGGTCTGTTTAGAAGGCCCTCTCCCATTGTGGGAAACTAGCTTTCTGTGAACAGTCGTGCCTAAAAAAAATCCATTAGCAGAGTTTATATATATGTTTAGGGTTTATTTGTCATCCTACGTTTATTTTTTCTGTCTTTTGATTATCAGGAGGCATTTTTACTCCCAGGTCCAACATTTATGACACCCCCACTAACCCCCCCCCCTCCTCTAACAGCTTTCTCCTGTCTTAACTTTTATGCGCAATACATAGAGGTCCTGTTCTTTCCAGAAATAAAAGTCACTGATAAACTACAATACTTCTTGTAGTACAACCCACTCCTCCGAAATCAGTACTTCCTTCTAGCCATTTTCCCATAGTGTGATATGTGAACAAACAGAAAAGATGCTCAGTTACTCTGGTCCTCGAGTCTCAGCTCCCTAACAAGGACTCTTGGCAATACTGTTCCACAGAGGAATTTCGTTTAGGAAACGTGTACTAAGAGAAATATGGGGCTGCCTTTATAAAAACTGTTATTTAATAGGCTAGTTGCAAGTCCTTCTCTTTCTTGTCTATAACAGATGGTTTCTTTCTTCCACTTCATGACCAATACTAGAAAAATGACCATTAACATTTTTGGAGTGGTAAAACTTGTATTCAACAAACTGCAATATGTAACTCTCTCTTTTTTTCTTTTCAGGGAAGAGAGTTTGTGTTGGAGAAGGTCTGGCCCGTATGGAGCTGTTTCTTTTCTTAACAACCATCCTACAGAACTTCAAACTGACTTCTGGTACTAAATTCACGGATGAAGATATTGAGCCCAGAATGACAGGATTTGCCAATGTCCCCAAATTTTATGAGATGTCTTTCATCCCTCGAGCATTGTAAAATGTTGCCCACCTTAAGGAACAAATCCACCTTTTCTACAAGCAGCTCCTTTCCTCCCATGAGAGAAGGGGGGAATCTTGTCTTAGTCAGTAGCCTCTAGAGCAGCGGTTCTCAACCTGGGGGTCGAATGAAAATTTGGCAGGGGGTCGCCCGGGAGAGAAACACTTTCTCCCAGAAAGGTTTACTCTGCTCAATCGAACAGAGAAAGCCTTTTTTCTGCTCTTCTTTTTTTTTCTGACATCGGGGCCGGCTGCCGTAAGTCAGAAAAAAAACCCCCACCATAGGAATGCATAGCTAGATTCCTATTGGCTATTTCCGTTTGCAATAGCCAATAGCAAACTAGCTATTGCACCCGCCCCCTGCTGCTGCCGCCAATCAGCAGAGGGGGACCTGCAGTTCTCAATCAGGTCCCCTACTAGTGATCGACAACAGCAGAGGGCGGGTGCAATAGCCAGCTTACTATTGGATATTGCAAATTGAAATAGCCAATAGGAATCAGGCTATGCATTCCTGACGGCGTACATAATGGTGCCGTGCAGCTACCAAAAAGATTGTGCTGTGACTGTCTACTCTCTATCTCTCACAATCTGCTCAGGTAAACCTGCACTCCCCCCCTCCCCCCCACATGGTGCTGCATTAATGTAATGCTGGGGTAGTGGTACTTGTAGTCCTCTATAGCTGATGATACATTGTGCTGTATATGTACCATCAGCTATAGAGGACTACAAATCCCAGCAATACATTATACACTGTATGTATAATGTACTATTGCTGTAATTTCTTGTATTCCTATATAGCTGGTGGTATTCTGCATTGCGCCGTATAATCATTATACAGCGTAATGCAGTAGACTTGTGCGCCGTCAAAAAATTAGTTTCGTTTTGAAATATCCGTTATTTCGTAATTCGTGTCCAAAACTCAATTCGGATTCGTACGAAATACAAATTTTCGTTCGTTTTGTTACATTTTCATAACTTTACAAACATTCGTTATGATGAAGTTAAAAAGCAAAAATACCTTTGTATTATTGGAGTCGATGGTAACAGAATTCGGATTCGAATTTCGTATTTCGGATTAAAAAAAAATCTTGTCATGTTGTTCAACCTCAGTCAAAGGGGTAATATTAGTTCCCGAAATTCGTTAACGGTTCGTATTCGAACCGTTAACGAATTTCGTATTTGTTACATTCGGAAACTGCAATTCAGATTTCAGATGCTTCCGAATTTACGAATTTCAGGAAATTCTGAAGAATTTCGATTCGTAACGAAACGAATCTCCCATGTCTACAATGCAGAATACCACCAGCTATAGAGGACTACAAATCCCAGCAATAGTACATTATAGTAAAATTTACTATTGCTGGGATTTGTAGTCCTCTGTAGCTGGTGTTATTCTGCGTTGTGCCGTATAATCATTATACAGCACACTGCAGAACACCAGCAGCTATAGAGCACTACAACTCCCAGCAATAGTACATTATACAGTGCAATGCAGAATAACACCAGCTACAGAGGACTACAAATCCCAGCAATAGAACATTATAGTATAATGGACTATTGCTGCGATTTGTTGTATACCTCTGGGATTTGTTGTCACCTTTAAGCAGTGGTTCTCAACCTGTGGGTCGCTCTGTGATTTCTGCTGTGCTAGGTGAGAGTCCTCCTCAGCCCTCTCCTATCTCAGCAGTGTCAGTTCTCCCGCCACGCTGCCAGATGTCGCTGCAGCAGCCACGTCATCCCTAAATTTTACCGTTGGGGGTCACCACAACTTGGCAAATGTTACCAAGGTGTCCCAGCCCTAGAAAGGTTGAGAACCACTGCTCTAGAGTTTACATAAGACAGTCTTCTCAACTTGCACCTTGGTGCTTCAAATTCTGCTTGTTTGAAAGGGGGAAAAGCGCACTGATCAGCACGAGTTCTGTTTCCATTTGGGTACAGTAGCAGTGTGATTATAAGGATGGGTAAGGATGGGGCTTAGTATGGAGGGCCAGTCAATTCAAGTATTGGCTGGCTAGAATACACAACTGATTACCAATGCCTAATTTTTTATTGCATTACAATAGCTAGACATAAACGAAAACTACAATTGCAAATTTTTAATTTTTTTTTGTCATTTTCAGGCCTAAAATGTGGAATATAACATGGGTGCAAAAAATGAAAAAAGGGCCTCAGTCATGAAGGGGTTAAAGTAATGACAGTGTAAACATTCAACTTGACTATATAGCTTTGAATGTGTTTTACTCAATATAAATAAACCTTGCTATAATGCTTGTTTTTTTCTTCTGCCTTCATTTTAACCAAGTAGCAATACAAAAATTACTTATTAATATATTATCTTCCACAAACCAGTACTGACGTTCTGCTTGTGTAGGTCTTGCTTCCACTGTGTTGGATGCAAAAGAGCCATAATGGTGCACCTTTATAAGGGCAATATTCTGCCTGCAGCTTGTCACCATGCCAGGCAGTTATGGTCCAAACTCTGAGGAAAGGTTTAAGGTTGCCAAGCTGCACCGACATCCCTGCCATGCCCCCTCCTAGTCACAGTACATGAACTTAGCTATTACTACACACTTTTAGACCTGGCATTTGAAGGATACTTGACAAGGGTCAGATCTAAGCCCTAGTGGGTAATTTTATGTAACCTTTTAATAAATTCACTGGATTAAAAACCTTGCAGTACACAGCATTAGTTTTATCAGTCTTGGATTTTTTAAAACAACATTATGTTACCTATTACTCTTTTAAGCAAAACTAAAACCTTGAATGCTTATCTTGCCATCAGTGTTGCGAGGTCTATGAGGTCTCACGCCGGGTCCAACCCCTTCTCACCCTGCTTTTTCCAGGGTCAGAACCTTGATTGGCCCCGAACATGTTGACTGGTTTTTGGTTGATCAAATGGTAAACAATTAAAAGGCATTTTTTCGACTCTTTTACCTTTTGGATTGGTGCCCTGTATTTCTGAACATCTTGATTGGCCAGGCAGGGATGAAGTAACTCTCATGCATTTGCACGGGAGTTCATTCATTCTGGCACAGAGGTGAGACAGAAATGGTCACTGTGCTCAGTACATATTCCAAAGCATCTTGTGAAGGGAAAGGTAAGAACAAGTCTTTATTGCAGAAGAGATATATTATAGTCTCTTAGGTTATAAGTTGTAAGGGAGACACTGGGGGGCTTACAGGAAGAAAACACAGACAGTTCTTCAGTTAGACATTTCATGTATAAGGCCTAAGAAACACAGCAATATAAAAGAATGAAAGAAACAAAAGACCAAGTCGTTCATCCCGTCTGCCCTTTTTTATTTTTTAGTTGTTGCTTTTCTTTTTGCTTGTTGTTTTTTGTTAACCTTTTAGTCTAAGTATAGATGTATGTTTTTCCCAATCATGCTTAAATTCACAATGTCAATTTTGAGGCTTGGTGACAACTGTACTCTGCTACCCTACGATTTGGCCTATAAGTACCATTATGGTAAAAACATATTCTAGAGACATTTGCTGTATTTATAAAGTGGATAAACTGGAATTTCTCACATTTATCAAAAATTATTCAGAAGTTTAGAAAGTCACTATACCAGTAGTGTACATAATCACATGTATTTAAAACTCTCTTATTTTCCCTTTGCAAGAGTTTGCCATATTTGATCTATTTTACTAGTTTTGCTCCAGTTTTCCTGTTTGTTGGAAAATTAACTGCTTATTCTTTCAGAAAATAAGCAAAGCTGGAAGTTGAGAATCTGATTGAGCGTGCAATTTACCAATAGGGGATGCTTTACCAAAGGCAAATAGGCTGTTCACTTTGGAAGATATTTTTCATTTTGCAAGGGAGATGCTGCTGACCTCTATCATCTGATCACATCAAAGCAAATATACTTTTTTTTTTTTACCTTGCACGTGATTGGGTATTCTTTGCAAAGTGAATTATCACTAAGCTAAGGGAAAATGTCCTTGCAAAGTGACTATTCCATTGCAAACTGAACAGCCAATTTGCATTTAGTAAATCAACCCCAAAACTATATGGACAACACAGTGGCATAGGGTTTAGCACTTCTGCCTTGCACCAGGGTGTCCCTGGTTTGAATCTTGGACATTGTCAGGGCTCTCTGTATGGAGTATGCATGTTTCCCTACGCTTTAGTTTTCTCCCACATTCCAAAGACACGCTGGCAGTTTAATTGGCTCCTGTCTAAATCGCCTCTAGTATGTACATGTATGCATGTGTGATCGGGACTAAGGATGCACCGATATATCGCTGCCGAAACATATCGGCCGAAAATGGCACTTTTGGCATAATGCCGAAAGTGCGATTTTCCTGCCGATGCATCGGCGCATCCCTGATTTCTTTCCTCCCAGCTGGGCGCTGCTCTATGTCCCAGCCGGGAGGAGAGAAACTGTGATAGCCGGCCGGGCGTGGCGGGAGGAAAGCACAGTGAGCGGCCGGCGTCCCCTCCCACACCGCTCTGCCGGACTGTGATAGGGGGGCGGAGACAGCGCTGTCACAGGAGGCTGGGCTTTCATCCCTACGCTGCTCGATCAGCGTCCTGTGACAGTGTGTCAGAGAGAAGAGCAAGGTACATACATTCAGCGATCAGACATGGACATGGTATGTTAACTATATGCTCAATTCATTCACAGTTGTGGTTATAGCAAACAAACAATGTACTTATGTTATCAATGAACAGGAACACTCATAGAGGATTCCTGTTCATTGATAACAGTGAAAAAGACTTTGTGTTTTCAATCTCTTTTTCTATTTTAAAATATAAATAAAAATAAATATATATACAAAAATGAAAACGTTTATAAGAAATAAATAAAAATAAAATATTTGAAAAATTTGAAAAATTAAAATAAAAAAACATTTTCTGTATCGGTTTCAGTTTTTTTTATTTCGGTTTTAAAATTTCCATTTCGGTGCACCTCTAATAGGGACCTTAGATTGCAAGCTTCTTGAAAGCAGGGACTGATGTAAATATGTAGTATGTAAAGCGTTGTGTAAATTGTTGGGGCTATATAAATAACTATAATGTTCCAATTATGAAACCACTCTTTTCTAATTGCCTCTTCATGGCACTGTGGTAAATAGATTATGCAATAGGAACAGGGTGTTTGCACAAACTTTCGCATGTATTATCATGTTGTTGGACAATCGGTATCTGATTGGACATATTCCATGGTGACTGAATTGAGAAAACTGAGTTGTGGTGTGGTTATAAATGTTGGGAAATGTTCCTGGCACTTATTAGAACTAAAGAAGACACTTGGATGAAACTTCAAACATCTTGAACACTACCAAACAAGACCCACTGTGTGTGACTAACTACTACTAGCTATACCAGGACCTGGAAAAACTTAAAACCTTCACAGGAGTAAAAGTTTGTCCTAACAAGTAGGAAACCACGGAAAAAACAAACAAATATTTTATCAAAGTTTGTGAAATAATAATTGTTTTTTGTGTTTCTTTGCAAAAAATAAATATAAAACAAAAAGCAGTTGGCATCTAAAGGTTTGAACATGTCTCTGTTGTCATACGGACAGGTCTTTGTCTACTTCACGTTAGTTTGAGAGAGTCCAAACCCTGCATTAACCAAAAGAACCCAGCATGACTTGGTATTATAAAAACTGCCGTTACCTTTTCACTATAAAGGTGCCCATACACCTGCCGATTATTGTACGATAATCGCGGGTGTATGGGCAGCGTGCGACTGCATCTACTGTACGGTTGCACAACTTTCGTCTTCCTAGCACGCTCGAAAACCCTCCGAAAATCATACGATTTTCGGCGGGTTGGTAGCGTGCTCGGAAGACGAATGCCGCACTGGCCGGTGTGCGCAAGCGCACAATGCCCACTCAGCACTGCAATCATCGCAAGTAGATCTGCCTGTCCAAGATGGGTAGATCGTACGAACTTTTAATGATCTTACAACATATCCTTAAAGGAAGACATATCTTAGGGCTTAGAACTGTTCTCAATAACAAAAGAGCAATGACATACTCCATAGCACCAATCACAGATAAGTTTAAATTGTATTGCAAAATTGTATACAAAAAACTGGTTTAGAATCACACAATACATAATTTACTTAAGGCAAATAGGCTGTTCATGTTGCAAGGGAATTAGCACTTTGCAGGGGGATTTTCCCTTCGCTTGGTGAATGTAGCAATATTTCACTTTGCAAAGAATACGCAATGATGTGCAGGTGAAAATTAAAAAAACAAAACAGTATTTTTGCTTGTACATGATTGGATGATGGAAGTCAGCAGAGCTTCACCTCATTCTCTTAACTGAAGGGAAACTTCCCCTACAAAGTGCAATTTCCTTAACAAAGTTGACAGCCAATTTGCCTTTAGTAAATCAACCCCACAGTGTGACATAAGCTCACAGCTGCATAATATTTTCTTTGTACAATACAATGAAATAAAGACAATGTCACCAAATCTAAATAAAAGAAAAATCATAATGTTACCCAGAGAAAGATGTACAGGTACTACAAATATATCTATCTTATTAATAAATGACCATAGGGATGTATTGTAGTTTGTTTTCGATCCTTGTAATCAAAGGTAAAAAAAAAAGACTGATGGAGCACCAGTGTGAACAGGACATTAGTTGTCTGAACCTATTATGGGGTCATGGGTTAGGGAGCCTCTGTTTTCTAAGCCACCCACCAATAGTAATTGCATGGGCTCATTTTTCCTCTCTTCAAAGCTGAAAATCTCAGTGGGAAAAAATTATTAAAAAAAGAGTTTGGTTGCTGGATTGCCTAAAGGTTTTTTTTACCTTTCATTGTCCTAAAGTTTTCAATATTCTTCTGTTTATTGCTGGTACTAGGAGCTAAGAACTTTTTGAATGCCTGAGCCTTGAGATTTTTTTTGTAGCACCAGCAAAGTCTGCCTGTTTCAAAATGGGTAACATTGGGCATACTATGAATGATGTTAAATAAGTGTTTTCATGGGAGGCAAGCACAAGGAAGGGTATATACTGCTCACAGCATCAACTGGATGAAATGAAAACAAAAGGATAGGTCAAGCGGCCACTAAATTTCAGGGAAGAAGGAGACTGTCTGGTGGAAGGTATGCTGATGGATCAATAAAGTAAAATATGGAATTTAGCAAGCATGCGGCCTATCCTTTTGTTGTGATTGCTGTTGCTGGATGTGGGATGAATCTTGTGTTAGGTCGGAACACCCAGGGCTAGATCACCACACTTAATTGGGGCCTCAGTGCGATACTTAAAGGCTAAAAGCCTTTTGCCTTCAATTTGCTGGATGAAATTGTAAAGGAACACTGCTGTGCTCTGCACACAAGTTCCACAGAGCCATCTGGACCAGAAAGGGTTGATGGCTGAGCCCAACCCTCCCCGAACAGTGCATTCTAGGACACAGACAGTTCTCCACAGTTTTTCATGCGTCTTTCAGAGTATTCTGAGGGAATCAGGGATTCTCTGAACTGATTTCTTTACTAGAAGCGAACAGCAAGCAAATACCATTCCATAAACAGCCAGATCGTTAAGGTTTTGCTTCCCTTGGTTAAGCGGAGTGAGGTATATTGTGTGTCTTCTGTTTGATTTGCTCATGAATTGTTTGGCTTTATATCTTTTTAATTGTTCTTACAAAGCTTAAATGCTTGATGAATATTGTTTAAATAGATTATTAAGAAAATAAACTTAAAGCATCTGTTAGAGGCTCTATGCCTAATGATCACTAATGCCAAGGGCTGCTACAAAAGTGATTTGTAAGCTTGGTGAGATATCTTTTGTCTCCTTGAGTAATGTTTTCTTGAGAAGATTTCACCTCGTTGTGTATCTTGGATCCAAAACTAAATTAGGATAATAGAATATAGACACAGGTGCAAGTTTGCAAAACCCAGCTCCTGGGTAACTGCAGCTCTGCATGGTATCCTGTTTAACTAGGAAACATTCTGTAGGCAGAATAATTATACATAATTATTAAAAAATACAAATTTTTTGCATAGAAAACTGTACATACACACAGGGAACATTTATTGAATGTATGATGTGTCCTCATTAAATACAGTACGGTCTTGCTCTTTTAAAATAGTAAGGCACTAAAAGTCAACTTGTGGCAAAATGTTAAATACGTATTTTAGAAACATATATGGTAACAGTTTTTCCTGCCAAAGGACTTGCAATTTTGTACAGCCAGCTTACCAGACAGCACAGCCAGATCCCAAACCTCCCCAGCCACATTGAAGCACTTATACTAGTTGCGTTCAGGGAAGTGATTTATAATAAATACATTACTATATTAATTGCTGTTTTTTCTCAATCTGGAGTTTAGCCATAAAGAATGCTGTATGTTTATAACAGTTCTGGAAAATATCATTAATGAGTATTCTAGTGCACAGCCTACAGAGGTGGGGGAGAAAACCAAATGTAGATAAAAGCCAGCCCACCAAAATCTAATGAAGCAAGCTCCTTTACTCTGGGCTCATGCAGATGAGCACATTGGGGCACGCAATGAACACAAAAACAGGCTTTTTCCATGCTTGGGAAGCCCAGCTAGTGCATACAGTACAGTCATCCATAGAAATTAATAGCTGTTTGCGCCTGTATGCAGGTTTACGTCATTACTCACGTAAACACACATGAAGCATACAAACATATTCCCTGAACACAGAATTTCTGCATTCGGGAAATACAATTGTACACTATGGTTGGGCTTTAACAACCAATAATCTTTATTCGTTTATTGTAAAATGTGTACAAGTGATAGCAATGATATGAAGCCATCATTGAAGCCGATACCATCAAGTTCAATTCAGGTGATGGATTTGTTATTATTGTATTTTTCTTTTAATTTGCCCGTTTGCAGATTGAACTTTGGAAATGATAACAAACTATTTGTTCAGCAATCACTGATTGTCACTACCGTATATAATGGAATGAACAAAAGTCAATGGAGTACTTCTGCTGTGTGCAAAATGGAGGTCACATGGTTGTCAACACTGCTTCTGGCTCTAGCCGTCTCCTGCATGTTCATCTATACCTTATGGAAGTCAATGAATAAAAGAAATAACCTACCTCCTGGGCCTACACCCCTTCCTGTTGTTGGAAGTCTCCTGCACATAAAGAGAGGAAAGTTGGTGCAATCTTTAATGGAGGTCAGTGTTTATGTTTTTTTGAGTCTTTGGGGCATAAGAAATGTTGTCCAGCTACCAGTGGGTATAGGTGCATAAACTCAGGAGCTTGCAGATGTGCCCACACATGCATGCTTATTATGCGGGACTGCATGTGTCTGTGAAAGGATGAATTTGAACATATTTACAGTTTTCATGCACTCTATTCTTGCATTGAAGGTACTTGGAGTTGAACGCAAGGAAGACTTCCAGCTTTTGATTTCGGTCATTAGACAGCAATAATCTTACAATAGTTACCCCTATCATGTGCAAAATGAGAATATGATAGGGATTTCCGAGCATGGGAGATTTATGCCCTCTAGTTAGGACTGGTGCAAGAGTTATTTAGGGCTGTTGCATTGGGTAATGACCATTGGATAATGCATAGTGGGAACTCTTAGCAGGAAAGATTCACAGAAAATGTATCTTATCTGAGAAATTAAGCACAAACAGACATTCAATTTTCTTGCCATCTGGCTAAACTGAAACTTCATGAGGACTGACACTTTAGAGATCCCCTCCATGCAGACATAAAATGCACACAAGAATGCAGCTGTGTAGTCATTAAAATATCGCTAAATATATTTTTTAATCTCAAGTACCTGAATACAACTTGGTATCATCATCTTGAAGTCCCCTGTTCTCCAGTGCTCAGGGTGGAAGAGCAAGCAGCCAATGAGCTGTGTTGCAGTGCTCCTTTACTAGAAAGGAACATCCTGATAGGAGGACAAAAGGCAGAAAGACATCAGGTATTCTGCCCTGCCAGGTTGGTTGAGCTGTCTGGCAAAGCTGTGTAAATCTCAAATTTAAATGCACAAAAATAGATATAAATTCTTTTTTTTTTTTAAAGGTCCCATGTGTGTATTTTATCTGTGTATCTAGCTGTTTGACTGGAGTTAAAGGATATCTAAAAACAAATATATGATATATTGCAGCCTACCAGTCCTTAGATTTGGTGGCTTTGTTACAATTTGTGTAAAATTATTTTGCATTTGTTGGAATATCTAAGAATGCTAGTCTATGCTATCATTTAGTGAGATAATATTTGAAGATATTTGTATGGTTTTGGTAATTTACAGGTCTATTCACAAAAGGGTGAAGAGTTTGGAGAAGGCAGGAGAAGTGAACAATTTAGGACAACATAGCTGTGGATAGTGAGCTAAATTGGAAATGTATCCAGATCATCTATGTTGTCCTAGATTGTTCACTTCTCCTGCCTTCTCCACACTCTTCACCCTTTTGTGAATAACCATGTAAGTCTCACTGACTGGAAACGTTTGCCATTTTCTTCAGCTTGGCCAGAAGTATGGCTCAGTCTATACACTTTATTTTGGATCTAAACCAGTGATCATGTTATATGGATATGAGACAGTCAAGGAAGCTCTTGTTGACCATGCAGATGAATTTGCTGACCGAGGAAATCTTGCAACAATTGATGATGTAGTGTCCGGGGCTGGTAAGTTTTTTGTCTAAATTAGACTGATAACTGCCCGGTGATTATTTTGTACTAGTTGTGAAATTGCTAAGAAGACTTTGTATGTACACTCCTGTCATCTGTAAGATGCAGAGAATGGTGTTGGGTGCATGGACAATGTAGCTCCAGCACACATACACAGGAGATACATCATCAGAAATTACATTATAAGAAATCCAGAAGTGGCAGAGAGTAAAGTAATGGATGGATCTTTCAATGCTTAAGGAAGCAGACTACAAGGTAAGTCAGCTATTATGTGAAAGAATGCAGTGCACATGTACATATCATGGAAAACGTTAACACCCATTCCCCCAGTTGTTAACATCAAGAAGGGAGTTTAGTTCCACTTTAGTACTTCTCTTCCAGATGTAAGCATGTTGCCATTATGGTAGTTTGCAATGAAAATACGTGTTCAGATATTAGAAAATCTTTTTCACAAATTAAAGAATCTGTGAGATTTGCTTTGTCAGGCAGAAATTCACAATGTTTGTCAAATTATGATCTGCACTTGTGGAAAACGACTCCATGGGGTTGATTTACTAACCTTTTAAACACACCACGAACGTGTATACACCTCTGTAGTGTGTTCCCTCCCAGCATGATCTATGGGAGGAATCGAAACACCTTTGTAGTGTGTACACACCCAGCAGGTGTGTTGTGCAAAGCCATGCAATGAATTGCAAGGTAATGTGGTGTAAATTAGCTCTATGTTATGTTGCTTGCGTTGATGAATGCAGGAATGTAAATGCATGAGCTAACCATTTTTGTCTAAACTGTGAAGCAGCATTATATATGCATCATGTGCATGATTTTTCCATATATGGCATTAGTGGAAATATGCTTTTAGAGACTTTTTGTTTGATAAATACGTTTTGCTGTGTGAAAATCACACACACCTGGTGTGTGTGTGTGTTTAGGTTAGTAAATCACCCCCACGAGTCTATTTGAGCTACCTGTGCTAAAAGATGTCACTCCTTTCACGTGTATGAATGGCAAAATGCACTGCGCCACAAATAAAACTATAACATATCTAAATATACAATTGATCAAATACCCATGAAACTTCAAAAATAAATCCCAGTTAACTTCTTAGTTCATTACGCCTGGCGATTAGAGCCTGGAGCCTTGGAGAGACAGACGTCCTGTTTCTCGTACAAAACAAATATTTTTACAGAACATGTGAGTGTTTTAAATCTTTGAAATAGAGCATGAATTTATAAACATACGACACGATGAACCTCTAATGTTTTTTTGGAGTGGATGAGGAGATGGGATCTTCGAGGTGGTGAAATTGAATATAATGAGAGCCTAAACAACAGAGGAGATTGGAGATCGTGTGACATATTTTTGACCATCGGGAGGGAGATTGGAGTTGGAGATCGGTGGATACCTTAATATATGCTTTTTGACCATCTTGCAAAAGAGGCCATTCCTTTCTGGTAAGTGCGGATCTATATACCTTATACGCGCAGTGGGTGGAATAACACGGATACCAATTAAGGATACATGGCACAGAAAAATTATTGATAAATGTGTCCTTGCACATTATGATTGGACTTTATTATTTTATGTTTCACATATTATGATGGGCATTTTGTGGTGATACAGAAGTTCACTGTGATTTATTTTTTAAGTTTCATGGGTATTTCAGTAATTGTACATTCTATACGCAGTGCATATAGAAAATAACAATATACCTGGTGTATAGTAAACTAATTAAGAAATCCAGCAGTCAGTAACTTTACAAGATTCAGCAGCAATCCCATTTGTGGGAGGATGTGGGGTAAGATTGTGCAAGGGGGGCTGTGAGGTATGATTGTGGAAGGGGTCACTGTAGCGTGACATTTTCAAGCAAGGGGCTGTGGGGAGAGATTTTGGAGGGGGCAAACTGTGGGTTGGGATTGTGGAGTGGGGTGGGTTTACCTGCTCCTTTGACTTGATATACGTAATGATGAATCGTATATGTTGGGACCAATGTCAAAATATATGGAATGTGCAGGAAATCCTTAAGAATAAGTTCTAGTGAATTAGGCAGTAAAACCAAGCATTCAACAATACTGTATCTGCCATTCTCTGTCCCAGAGCAGGGTTCCTAAGTGTCCCAGGATCTGTTACCGCACTTCCTATTCACTTTATTAGCTGCAGCAAATGGCTTGGCAATGACAATGATTTGTCGGATATGGAGACTCTGAATGGCGGTTTAGTTAGAGGTGTAGCAGAAGAAAGTGAGCCAGTAGTCACAGGAAGGCTTGGTGTTCAGAACAGAGGTAAGTACTGGGAGTTGTTGGAGAATGTTTGTAATCTCAACTTTAAAGGGGGCCAGTGGACCTAGAGTTTTTGACTTTTGGACCATTCAGAATTTTTAGCGTGAGGGGAAATTCATTATTTTCAGAGTTCAGTTTTCATTGTGGTGCAAGTATTTTTGCTACAAACAGTGCACAACATCAGTTTTTCGGGAGGGGGGGGGGGGGTTATTATGATGCTTGGAGAGCTATTTGTAATTTAGTGTTATTGAAAAACTTATGAACCGAGGTCGTGAAGGTGTTGACAGATTAGAAACTGATGAAGTAACTACTGGGAAATATTACAGGACTTGGCTATGCCACACAAAGTAGCCAAGTCCCCGCTGCATTTAAAGCTCACCTGCCATTAGCTTTAATCTGCATAGCTGACCCAGCATATGCAAAGTAGATACTTGCAAGTGCAGATCAGTATTAACACCTTTGCAGTCTGCTGCAGCTGGATGCCCCAGGGCCCCAAACTGGTGGATTGAAGAGTGCAATAGCGTCTGCATGTAAAACTGACAGCTTGTTGTTTTCAATAGTGTATTCTGGGTTGTATTTTGTTAAAATAATTTACACACTACAGACCAGATGATAGAAGACCTAAGAATGTCACATTACTGTGAATTTGGGCTTCTAGGTGATTTCTGTTTTAATATAACCTTTAGATTAGTAGGGGTTTGGTGGGATAGGTTTTAATTATTTATATTTAGACTGGAGACCAACTTTAATGTTATTTATACTCCTATGCTTAATATAGCCCATATTTTTTAGGAGTGGGCTTTTGCAATGGAGATACATGGAAGAACCTTCGGAGATTCACTCTTGTGACTCTTAAGAATTTCGGGATGGGCAAAAGAAGTATTGGAGAAAGGATCCAGGAAGAAGCTCAATGTCTAGTAGCAGAACTAAAATCCTACAAAGGTATATGACTGACCATGGTATTTGTCTTTTTACCCTCATTTTATACTGGGATTGGCAGGCCCGGATTTCCCACAAGGCCACGAGGCCCGGTCTCGGGGAGGCAGAGCGCCGAGGGGCGGCAGCGGTGACCTTGTGGGGAAGTTGCGGGCGCCGGTGTGAGGTGTCCCGACGGCGGAACTTGACCCACCGGCTTCGTAGTGTGCAGCCGCACACTACGGAGC